AAAAGCCTGGGAAAATTATACCTGCCAGAATTAGCAAGAGCTTGTGTTAAGAAGAAATTTGTCAAACTCAACAAATTGAAGCTTAAGAGTTACAGTTGCTGATCAGAAATATGGACAGACTTCTTAGACTTGGAGGAGGTATGCCTGGACTGGGCCAGGGGCCACCTACAGATGCTCCTGCAGTGGACACAGCAGAACAAGTCTATATCTCTTCCCTGGCACTGTTAAAAATGTTAAAACATGGCTGTGCTGGAGTTCCAATGGAAGTTATGCGTCTGATGCTTGGAGAATTTGTTGATGATTACACGGTCAGAGTGATCGATGTGTTTGCTATGCCGCAGTCAGGAACAGGTGTCAGTGTGGAGGCAGTTGATCCAGTGTTCCAAGCCAAAATGTTAGATATGTTGAAGTAGACAGGAAGGCCTGAGATGGTTGTTGGTTGGTATCACAGTCACCCTGGCTTTGGTTGTTGGCTTTCTGGTGTGGGTATCAACACTCAGCAGAGCTTTGAAGCCTTGTCGGAGAGAGCTGTGGCAGTGGTTGTGGATCCCATTCAGAGTGTAAAAGGAAAGGTTGTTATTGATGCCTTCAGATTGATCAATGCTAATATGATGGTCTTAGGACATGAACCAAGACAAACAACTTCAAATCTGGGTCACTTAAACAAGCCATCTATTCAGGCATTAATTCATGGACTAAACAGACATTATTACTCCATTACTATTAACTATCGGAAAAATGAACTGGAACAGAAGATGTTGCTAAATTTGCATAAGAAGAGTTGGATGGAAGGTTTGACACTTCAGGACTACAGTGAACATTGTAAACACAATGAATCAGTGGTAAAAGAGATGTTGGAATTAGCCAAGAATTATAATAAGGCTGTAGAAGAAGAAGATAAGATGACACCTGAACAGCTGGCAATAAAGAACGTTGGCAAGCAGGACCCCAAACGTCATTTGAAGGAACATGTGGATGTACTTATGACTTCAAACACTGTCCAGTGTTTAGCAGCTATGTTGGATACTGCCGTATTTAAATAAAGAAACGCAAAAAGCTATTAGTGATAAAAAAAAAAAGACCACATATTAGAACAAAAGATACTCCTATTACTCCTATTGCTTAGGAAATTACAAGGGTTTTAGCGGCTCTCTGTCAGAAAATGGAGACAAAGACCAAATATATATTTCTTGTTATGTCACATCATCACACTCTGAAAAGATCCTATTATTTGTTTGAAAACTTGTTTATTGTCTGTCTCCCCTAACTGGAATGTAAGCTCTTTGAGGGGAGGGACCTTGTCAGTTTACTACTCTGTTGTCCTCCCAGTACCCAAAAATACTCCTATTAGTAGGAGTTCAGTACATCTTAGTTTCTCACCTTCTCACAGAATCCCAGAAGGTATACTGTCTTTCTTACTACTATGTTTTTTCTTTCTATTATAATAACAAAAGTTTATATAACAGGCAATGTAAAGGACCAGGATGATCTGGGTATGGAAGAAAAATAGAACATGCAGTTTTAATTGAGCATGTTCTGAGCGGCTAAAGACTACATTTCCTAACTTCCTGTGCTGCGGGTATGGCAATGTGACTGAGTTCTAGACAATGGGTGTAGACGTGATGTGTGAACTTCCGGGTAGTGACTTTAAGAAAAGAATGTATATGCCATTTACTTCCCATTCTGCCTTCCCATTGGGCAGAATGTGATCCTACAGTGGAAGCTAGAGCTGCTGTGTTGGGCCACAAGATGGAAGCTGCATTATGAGAATGGCAGAGCAAGAAGATACAAGGACAGAGTCACCCATATCAGAAAACTTTGCTGCAGTAACAACCAATCCCCAGTTTCCAGAGGGTTATAGCAAAAGTTTTCCATTTTTAGAATGTTAGCTGAGTGTTGCTGTGGGTTAGCTATGGATCTTTCCATGTTGTCTTCTTCGTTTTAGAATGCAGGCCAAAGAAACATTCCCTAATCTGGACATAGTGTCATGGTCAATGGAAAAAGAGCAAGAGAGCTGGTGGAAACATGTAAAGCTCTTAAAACCTCTGCTTAAAAATGGCAAACGTCATGTCAGTTTACATGCCATTGGCCAAAGCAAGTCAGACGGCAAAGCAAAATACTAATAAGATGGAGATGTATATGCCTCCCACAGATGGATGGTGAGAACCTGTGTTTTACAGGTTTGGGAATACTAATTAGGAGCAACAGTGCAGTGCACTATATCAGCATATCGACTCTAGATGGCTTATGCTTGAGCCACTATTATTTTGGCCTTGTTACAATAGTCAAATCTGTATTCCAACTGTTATTGAAAGATAGTATTTTACACAAATAAATTTAGACAATGGAGGGATAGTTTTTAAAGATGTGGAATATAGGATGATACCAAAGTGTTATTTAAGTTTTTTAAAAAAATCTAAGAACAACGGGTAAAAATGGAAGAAGGCATTTAACAAGGAAAGGAATAACCTAGGTAAATTCAAAGCTCCCAGGTATATCAAGCACATGTTCAAAATTTGAAAAAATTCTAAGAAGACTACTTTCTTGTCTCTCATCAGCAGAGCAGTTGTTGAGTTCTCTGAACAGACATTTAATTTAGCATCAGTTCAGAGAAGCAGTGGTCCTACTACATCTGCAGCACAGAACAGAAAGGCAGCAATCATACATATGCAGAATAAAGTGTAATTTTATATATTTAAAGTTATTAGGGATATGATCAGTACAATGATGAACATTATTACTCTCTGGTATATTGAACATCCTACCTTTGTCCGTATGACTTCCTTTAAATAGAGAAATATGAGGTCTGTCTGGAAAGTATCCAGCCATGTAATATGAAAAATAGAGACATTTATTGAAGAAGATACAAGATATAAGAAACATTGTACATAGGACAATGACACCTCGGTTCCCTTCAAAGTAGGCACCTTGGGACCCCACATAGTTCTCCCAGCGTCTCTTAACCTAACCCGCGCACATTCAACATTCTCAGGTGTTCTGCTTGTTGCAGGTCTTCCAGAACATGGATCACTTTCAACAGGTTCTCAACCATCTTTGAAGCATTTGTGCCACACTTTTATTTGTGCTGCGCTCATTGCATCATCCCCGAAAGCCTTCTGAAGCCAAAGGAATATTCAAGCTTAACGCAAAATTTGATGCAGACCCATTGCTCTACTCACTGAATCATTTTGAATGCCATGGCCACACAGTACACACGCTCACTGAACAGCACCCAGCGCCCCACTGACTAGTACAGTGACGTCATCACGGTTCACACATGCACATTACAGCCCACTAGCCTTGACTACCAGGTTATATCGATGTCACGCAAACTGTTCTCCTTATATTAACAATGGCTGGATACTTTCCAGACAGCCCTTGTGCACTTCAAGACCAGAATGCACTCAGAAGGGTCTTGAAATCTGAAACAAGAAAAGAAAAAGATATGCCTTCCAAATCACCATGAACATGTATGACAATGATGAGGGAAATTTTATTTTTAAGATTGTCAGCTGTACAGAGAAACTACCCAATTTTAATAGCCAATTCCTTCTCCCTCCTTAGGAATAGACTGGAAACTCTTGACTTAAAGTATATCTAGCATTTGTTCTCCTTCCTTTTTTTCATTATTGTCATAATAAAATATGTAAATTAATGCCACATAAATACAAGTCAAATCCGGGATTTCTGTGGTAT